GTTCGTTATGTTGTTCTTATTATGAATAAAACAGAAGTTCAAAGCCCAATAAAGATATACAAAGGTAGAAAGGCACAAACCACACATCCCGTAGATAAACATCTTTATATATTTAACATTTAGGTATATATATATATATATATATATATATATAATTACGTCCCTATCATATCATAGGATGTATAGAAACATTGAGGTAAAATAAATTTAATTTTTACGACAACGTACTCAACTGTCTCAAAACATTTTTACCAAATGATTCAACACAGAAAAATAAAAAATAAACAATTGTTGCAAATTGCAACAAGCAGATAAACATTCACACATACACACATGCATGTCTACACACATGAATGCATGCATACATACATCATATACACACATGCATACACACATCACATACACACATGCATGCATACACACATGCACGCATATATCACATACACACATGCATACACACATGCATGCATGCACAAATGCAGGCATTCATCACATACAAACATGCATGCATACATCACATACACACATGCCTGCATGCATCACATAGTCGCCGCTCTAGCCTCACATTCATTCTTGATATCAAATATCAAATTAAAAATATTACAAGATTTTAACGCATCCGAAGTACCACACGTGCATCCGCGGAAACAAACAAACAAACACACTTCTACAAACTCTTTCACACATACAAACTCTTTCACACATACAAACTCTTTCACACATACAAACTCTTTCACACATACAAACGCACGCACGCACGCACATGTATGTTACAATAATTTTATTTTTCAGGATCTGCATGTTCGTAATGATAAAAATTTTTGTGAAATCACTCACACACACAATGTACATATTTAATTTATATTATATATATTAAATTAATATATACGATTTGTTTATTATACATTGTTTTGAAATATATTTTATTTCGCTTTGTGTTTTGTTTGGACAAAAAATTTGAGAAGCCACTGAAAGTTGGCGAACAGGAAATTAAAAAATAGCAAAAGTAAAAATAAAATTATTTCAGATAGGTTACCCGCCAACACGTGACGTGCCTGTGCCAATGTAATGCCTAAATTAATATAAAACTATATTCCTCCCTTCTACTTCATTAAATCTTGTAATGATATGTAAATTTATGTTGTTGTTAGAATGGCCATGTTAAAAATTTATACGCGTGAGTGAACATCAGTTACAGAGATGTTGGATTGAGATAGGATTGCCATGAAGTCTCGTCTGACAGTAGAGTGACAACAACCTGTGTTCATTAATTTTTAAAAACTAGACGGATAGATATTGTCATCGCTCAGATTTTATATCACCTTTCCAAACTCTTGCCAGAGATTCCGAGATGTAAAACAACGTGAAAAATATGATGGAAAGCCAAGTGCAAGCACATATAGGAGGAGTTATGATGGCAAGGTTTATCTTTAAACTGCTTCCAATTTTCATTGTTTCGTCTCACTCCTAAATCCTCAATAATTAATATTTAGGAGTGAAATTCTTTGCAGTTCATTTTTGAATCATTTTCATCAATTAGTTAAAAGGATTGAAAATATTATGAGAAGTACCAGCCATAGAATTTTGCATATCTGGTATGTGAAGGAAGAATGGTCTCGTGGCCGAGTGGTTAGCGTGTTCGTCTACTACTTCCACGACCCGGGTTTAAATCCTGCAGTTTTTACAAATTTTTCCGGTTAGCCGACCCCTGGCCAATCCAGCCGTCCATCTTTCCAAGGTCGGTAAATGGGAAGACGACATATTTGGCCCGGGAGATGGCTCAGTGGTTCAAATGCGCGCTGAGTCAAACGTCTCAATGGCTATCATATACTCAGCGCATATGATTCGGTTGACAGCAAGTAATGGCAACCTACTGTCCGCAACCTTTGCCAAGAAAAACCGCCGACAGCTACAACAAAGTGTTAAAAGGTCGATGGTCGCCAATGTCCTGAAAAGTATGAGGCATAGAAAAATGTGAAGGAGACGATCACAAACTATTGATATGATATCTAGATTTGATACAATCCAAATTGAAAGTATTATCATTTTCTAAAATTAATTGCAGATAAAAGGACCAGATCTAAAACATTAAATTTTATATATTGTAAATAAATGAAAGTTGAAAGTTTTGCAATCAATTTTATTAAAATAAAAAATATGAACACAAGTACATAGGTACATGTGTTTGTTGGAAAGTATGTGAGTGCATATGTCTCTATATATTTTTGGCATGCATGTATGTTTTATGTGTGTATATATATGCCTGTATGTATGTGAGCGTGTATATAAATGTTTGCTTTTGTACATGTGCATGTATATGTGTGTGTGTTTGTACATATGATGCATATACATACACACATACATAAACTTACGTGCAAACAGTAGTTTTACTCAAATTATCAAATAAATATAAGTTTAGATACATACACATATACACATCCATACATTCTAACACACATAAACTCATCACGTACACACACACACACACACACACACACACACGAAAACAGCAAACATACAACTTCTTAATTGAGCAAGCGAACGCCAGTTAACTTGTTGCAAATCTCTTCTTATTATTAATAATTTCCATGTTTGACTTTTGACCCTAAGTGATTTTAATTATAAATCAATGCTAAATGTGCGTGCAATGTACATACATGCCTATATATAATCATCACACATACAGACACAAACACACACACGCAGGTAATTGATCGACCATCAAACAGAAATAATAATATTCGATGTATTACAACGTTATCAACACTCTTGTGTTGTTACATTGTTTAACTTTGATCTTTAAATAATGATTTGATTATTATTTTGAAATAAAAGTGTTGATTATTAATTATTATTATTATTATTT